TGGCAACGACAAGATCGCTAATGGCGTGCCAGGCACTACACTCAGCACCTAAAATTTAGTGGCTCACTTAACCTTCTCAAGGTGCCATTACCATCCTCATTTTTTTTTTTAACGTTTATTTATTTTTGAGACAGAGAGAGACAGAGCATGAACGGGGGAGGGTCAGAGAGAGAGGGAGACACTGAATCCGAAACAGGCTCCAGGCTCTGAGCTGTCAGCACAGAGCCCGACGCGGGGCTCGAACTCACGGACTGTGAGATCATGACCTGAGCCGAAGTCGGACGCTTAACCGACTGAGCCACCCAGGAGCCCCTGCCATCCTCATTTTTAAGATGGGGCAAACAAGGCACAGAGAGACTAATACACCTGCCCAAGTTCACACAGTTGATGGAGCTGGGACAAAGCCAGACAGCCCCAGGGCCACCATGCTGCTTCTCTTGGGGAACAGCTGAACTGGATGACGGAGGAGCAAAGGTCTGGGACAACTGGACGTGGGGGTCTACTGTCTGTGGGGCCCTACGTGTTTAGCCGTCTCAGCTAATCCCCACAGGGTCCCCTAGAGATACCAGGTACCTTCATCCCCATTTTATAGCCTGAGTAATGAGGCTTTGAGAGACAGAGCTTCCCGCTCCAGGTCACTTTTCAAGGATTGGAACCTAGTTCTAACTTGGCCACCATGTGACCCTGAAGACAAAACCTTCAGCCCAGGTTTAGGGAAGGCCTCTCAAAGCTACACAATGTGCTTTGGACACACTTTGCCCCCATCGGCTGCCCCAAATTCCAGCAACCACCCGGCCAGGGGGTGGCACTCTCCTCTCCACGTATAGCGAGGACACTGAGGTCCAGGGAGGTTGTACCCTTGGGCCCCTGTAGCCCTCTGCTCTCCCCCCTGGGCCTTGAAAGCCAAGGCCAGGGCTTCTGGGAGGGGGAAGGCAGAGGCCTGAGGACAGGGCAGAGACCTGAGAGGTCTTCTCTCTCGTCTCTCATTGCTGTCATTGTCGTGCTCATCTCCAGAGTTAGTTTAAGTGGCCCTGAGCCTGGGGAGCCAGCCTGGAGTCATTAGCTGCGAACCGCCAGCCTCTTTCAGGGAGCTGGAGCTGGGCTGGCTTCCAGACAGCGAGGCCCCCGCCCCGGGCCGCCTCCCTGTAATGCAGAGCCCTGTCCTCCGATGCCCAGAGGCCCCGCCGGCTTCTCTGGGGCTACGCTTTTATCTCTGCCTGCCTGCAACTGCCAAGCACGCGCAGACTGTCTGAGCCCGAGCCTGCAGCCGCTCAAGAGCCCGGTGCCCACGCCACTGACCTCCACACCACAGCACAAGTCAGGCAGGAGGAGGAAGGGGTAGGTTCTGCCAGAGCCCAGGCGGCCCTGGCTCTCCCCAGGGGGGAGGCAGGATGAAGCACCCAATCCTCCCCTTCCCCCCCTACTGCTGCCGGTTGTTACAAGTTGTCTCCGGGCCTCAGTGCACCCATCTGCCCTCCGTGGAGATCATATGACAAAGATGAACGTTTATACGGGCCAGGCGCTATGCTAGACGCTTTACTGCATTAACTCCTTAACGTTCACAACTGCCCCCCCAACATACACACTATGGCTATCCGCTTTTTCCAGGTAAGGCAACCGGGGCAGACACCCCAGTTCACACAACCAGAGGGGAACGAAGCCAGGATTCTCCCCAGGTAAACCAGCCTTGCTGTCTCTGTGGGTCCTGACACCCTAGCGGACCGTGGGCTCGGCAGTGGCAGGGATGGGGTTTGAGACAGGGGCACGTGCCCTCTAGCACCCAGCGCGGAGCCCGGTCTGGTCGAGGAGCCCCCTCCTGACTGAGGGGCCAGGAGAGCACAGTGGACAAGATCTCACACTCTGCAGCCCCAAAGACCAGCACTTACTCATGGGTAAGCCTCCTGTGCCTCAGGGTCCTCGCCTCTCAAGCAGGCACACCAGGGGCACGTGCCTCACAGGAACGAAGGGTGTGCAAAGTGCGGAGCCCAGGGCCCAGCGGGGTCTGAGGCCGGGAAGGGCCAGGATGTTCCGGCCCCGGCCAAACCACTGGGATCCAGGGAGAGTTGGGAGGTTAAGGGACCCGGGCAGGTGCCTCAACCCACCTGTGCCCGGGCAGGCTGGCACCCGGCAGGGGTCACATACTGGTGTCCCAAACTCCTGCCACACCCTCAGCCCTGCTCCCCAGAAGCCCGGGCCTGACCCCAGAATCTGCAGGGCTCCGCAAGGGCCTCGAGGAACTCCTGGTGAGGCATGCCGACCGGCAGAGGGTAAGCCTGGAGAGGCAGAGGCCCAGCCAGCCCCTCCCCGCTGTTCGAGGGACCCCTCTGTGCCAGCCCTGCCCCACTTCCCACTCGCCATCTGCCTGGTCCCTGGGCGCCTGCGTCCCTGATGATGTGCTCACGTGATGCCCCATCTGCCATGAATCAGAAGGCAGGGTCCACAGGGCCTCCCCGAGGACAGGACTGCGGGTGCCAGGCCCGCTCGGGCTCTGGTTCAGGGGGAGGGGTGGCACTGGGCTTCGGGGCTGTGTGGCCACATTTTCCCATCTCCCCACCTGCACCCCGGACACCCCCACTGCCTCCTCCAAGCCCTGCCTCAGAGCCCTGCCCCGACTCTTCCTCCCTGACGTGTAGAAGCCCACCTGTGCCTGTATCCCCCAAAGGGGCACTGCCCCCAGCACCTACCACCCAGCACTTACCACCCACACCCACACCCACACACGGCTCTTGCTGAGGATGAAGCAGCCTGTGGCCCGGCTCAGCTGGAGCACGGTCCACGTGGCCCCTTCATGGCTGTGCCTGCCCCCCTCACCCCTCCCGTCTTTGTCCTGCCCTGCCCTGCTAGGAAGGCGATCCCCGCAGCACAGAGACCCCACCACCGCTCTGCTGCCTCTTTCACCTGCTGTCCCTTCAGCTGAGCGGCCACCTCCCCCTCTGTCCCCACAGCCATGAAGCTGCCTTTCAAGCAAGAGCCCTGAGCCCTACAGCCTGGGCTTCAGGCAGCCAGGCCACGGCGCATCATAGCCCTGCCCTCCCCATCCTGTCGGGGTCACAGCCAGAGCACCCAGCCCCCACCCAGCACCCATCTGACCTGGCTGTTGGCTGCTGTGCTGCTCAAGTCATCCTGCCATCCCTCCTCCGCAGAGCAGATCGAGACCTGCCAGCCTGGTCCTGCAGGCCCCATAAAGTGACCCGTGCCAGGTCTCCAGTGCCATCATCTGCCCCATTTCCAGCCTCGCATCATTCCGAGCCCTTCTCTATGCAACTGCCTCTGCCCGAAATGCCCCGCGCCCCACCCTCCCAGAGGCACACCATTCCTCTCCACCACTCTCCAAGCCCAGCCGGGTCCTCCCAGCCCAGAAAGTTCTCTCCCCTTCTTGGCAACATTTTGACACTCCTCCGCCTCAGGTCCTAGCTATCTTGTTTGTCTGTGTCCCTGACAAGATGGGGTGTCACGGCCAGGCTGACCAGCCCCTGCCCAGCGGCCCAGGGCCCTGAAGCCAGCAGCAAGAGTGTGCACAGGCCGCCCGGCACAGCGTCTCCCTCACAGGCTGGGCCTGGGGTGGTATCTTTCACAAGCCGACACTCTCGGAGCCAAGCCCCAGGACCACTGGAGGCAGGGCATCTATCATCATGCCTACGCACCCATTTAGCAGCTGAGACAACTGAGGCCCAAAGAGAGAGGCAAGGCAAGGTGCTATGACTGAGGTGGACCCGTATCTCAGGTCCCCGGGGTCCCCACAGCAAAGGGGGATTAAGTCCGGCCTCAAAACGAGTCCAACCTCTAGATGTTGGCAGAGAAGGTCCCCTAGGACCCTGGCCTGGGCTGGGGAACCAACTCAGCAGTTAGCGGCTCTCACTGCCAGGAGATGCTTCTTCCCACTCAGTCTCCAACCCCAAGAAAGCACCTCCGCCCTCAGGGTACCCACAGTGAGGGGGCAGGGGCCCTGGCGTTGGGCCTGGGCCACCAATGGGTTCTAAGACACCTTGTTTATCTCATTCACTGCCCCCACCCCCAGGATATCATACACACAGCAGGCACTCAATAAATGTTCAGGTGAATAACTTCTTTGGCCTTCTGGAGCTGCAAAGCCTGTTCTTACCCACCCGCCTAGGCCAGGCCGGGACTGCTCCAGGCAGGATGGGCATTGGGGGGTACGGCGAGAGGTGCCCATCTCAGTATATGCCCCCCAACCCTCCTCAGTAAAATGAGCACCAGTTCCTCCTGTGGGGCCACCAGAGACCTCAGCTCGGCACCGCAGGAAGGAGGCTGGTTGGGGAAGAGGGAAGAACAGGATCCAGCAGATCCCCCAGGGCGGGCGCTGCGGTAGCACCTGGAGAGAAAGCCCTATCAGTTCCACACAGATGGGGGCACCGGGGTCTGGAGGTTAGTGGGCAGGGGGCTCCAGCCTCAGCTTCCACTTCCCCATGTATCTGCCCCTAGTTCTCAGGACCCTCTCTCACCCCCCACGTTCAGACCCCATGGCCGGGACTACCTCCTCCAGAAAGTGGCCTGTGTGGTGAAGAGCCAGACTGTCCCTGGCTCACTTGGGGACCCGGGACCCAGCCCTGGACATCTGTGAGCAAAACTGTCCACGAGGGTCCTGTCCTCCCTCGGACTGGACCCCGGTTCTTTATCCCCGGACTTGGTACCTGACGTTGGGTAAGCCACCTGAGAGCCTTAGCTCTCCCATCTGTGCAGTGGGAGCAGGAATGGGGAGTTGTCTCACAGCCCAGAGAGCAGACCCCAGCTTGCTGGGTCCTGTGACGATACCACTCTGAGCCTCAGTTTCTCTAGTTAACAAAGGACTGGCGGCTCTGAGAGATTCCATCCTGTGGGGCCCCGTTCCCTTCTCAGACACCTCCCCGTCCGTCTACCCCCAACACTGGAGACCCCGCACAGCAGCGTTCATCCGGGCTGGCTGCCCCCAAGAGGCCTCCCCCTACCATCTGCCGCACACCTCCCTCCTCCCTCCTGCTGTCACACCCTTGATCTGGTACCTGGTGCCGGAGGAAGGTCCTGTGTGGGACCAGGCAGCTGGAACGCCTTTCAAGTCCCACTTCAGAGGCTTAGCCCCCCAGCCAGGGTCAGGCTGCCCCCAGTGGGCAGGCTGGTGAGTGTGGGAGGCACCCAGCTCCTCTCTTGCAGCAGAGCAAGGCGGGCAGGCAGCTGCGGAGGCAGGCGAGGCGGTGAGGCTGCGACTGTTTGTGGGGGGACGGCCCCCTCCTGCCCCAGTCGGGCTCCTCCCTCTTCCCTAGCTTGGCTGGGATGACGGGACCATACGTGAGTCACGGATTTCTCAGAGGGGGCAGGGCTGAGAGAGCTCAGGCGGTGACCCTGGGGGATGCCCGTGACTCAGCGCTGGGCAAGGGGGCACCTCAGCCTCACCACCCACCGATCCTGGCAGACAGGTGCCAGGCTTCGCAGACAGACAGCCCCGCCTGGGGATAACTCTGCCTCCCTGCCCTCCATCTGTCGCTTCCCCAGGGCTCTTCTCCCCAAAGTTCCCGCAGAGAGGCTAGGGTTGCCATGGTGACAGTCCACTCAGATGCTGCCCACCGCACTCCCCCGCCCCCCGGCCCCGCCTCAGGCCCAGGCGACAACTGCCCCTTCCTGAAGGAGAGTCCAGCCTCCTTAGCAGCAGACAGGAGCCGGCGCTGACCGGCAGAGCGGAAGGCACTGGGGGAGGGGGGGTGTCAAGTGGCTTGGCATGTGGCCACCCAGGCCACGCACAACTGACCACCTGACCTTGAGACTTCCTTGAGCCTCAGTCCTCACAGCAAAGGGACTCATCTCGATGCTTCCCGGGTTCCAACATTCTAAGACTCCCGTTCTAGATTCTGAGACCCCAGGGGCTTCCGGAAAGGTCCCTGTTAGTACATCTGCTGGGCCAAAGGGGAAACTGAGGCCCGGGTGAAGAATCACTCCTGCTGGCTCCAAAAGCTCAAGGGGAGAAACCGGGATTGGGGCTGATGCCTACATTCCCTTCTGGCCACTGGCCTCTGTCAGCAGCTCCCTCCCACGGCTAAGGTTAATAGCCACCCTAGGAGTCAGGAAGCTTCGGATGGCTCATGGCCCGCCCTGCGCCCCGTGGAGCAGGGACTCCCTGTCGTCTCTCATCCCCACACGACTCCCAAGTCAAAGGTGCTGTAAGAATTTCACAACATAATGAGGGTAAGTGGTGACAGCAATAATAATAACAGTAATAATAATGATTACATTTACTGACCACTTACTACATTCCAGAATCTTGCCTCACACCACACCATCACCATAGCACCACAGGACAGTGGCGAGGAGGAAAACACATTGCTCAGGCCAGTGCCCGGCACTTGATGAGCCCTCAGTAAATATTTGCCGTGAATGTGGCGACGACAAAGGGAGAGCACAAGGCTGAGAAATGCAGCTCAGAGAAGGGAATTAACTTGCCCAAGGCCATAGAGCTGGGAAGTGGCAGAGTGGGGATGCAGACCCGGGAGGTCTGGCTGCACATGGCTCTCCTGACCACTCATGAATCCAGCCTCCCCAGACCTCTGGCGTGGGGCCTGGGCACAGCAGGTGCTCAGGGCACCGTAGGCCCCTTCTCTTGTGCGGGGATCTGCATTCGCAAAGAGAGACCTGAAAAAGTCACGTGATATAGCACGAATGGAAGTTTTTTAGGCAATCCAGGAGGCCGGGGATCTGCTGCGGGGGAAATGCAGCCCTCACTTGCCTGCATAGATCCTGCTGCAGGGAGGAGAAAGGCAATAAAGCTCATGGTGGGGTGCAGGGAGGCCCTGAGGTCAGAGCTTCCAGTGAGCAGCGCTTTGCTCTCCAAGTGATCAGCCCCCTGGCGGCCTGTGGCGGATGCCCAGGGCAGGCGGGCACTGTAGGCGCTTGCTCATTGCTGGGCCTGGAGGGGCAGTTCACACTTGGCGGGACGAGGTGGGGGGGAGGGGGGAGGGGGCAGGAAACAACAGAGAAGAAAAGTGGGTTATCCAGGAAAGGATGTGGGGTCCCTGACATGCAGTGTTCCTGAGCAAGTTACCACCTCTAAGCCTCAGGGTCTCCAAGGTCTGTCCTTCAGGGTCAGGCCACTGGTACCTGGGGCAGCCTCAGCTGTTCCCCGGGGGCCATGCTGGCAAGGAAGCAGGCCCTCCCGAGACACACACACACACACACACACACACACACACACACACACACCACAGAGGGTGCTGACCAGCGGGACGTGGGTGGAGTGTTGGGGGCGCCACTCTCTCCGCATGAGGCAGGGGCACCCTAAGCTGGACATCTGAGCGAGGGACTCAGAAGCCAGGAGCCAGCTGCCACTCTGGCCACATAGGAAAGGCCTATGTGGTGGGCCGGCCAGGGTAGCAGAGAGCTTGCCAAAGCTCTGTCTGCCCTGTCACCACCGGGCTTCTCAGAGACCTACTACGTGCTGGGCACTGTGCCAGCCTCCAGAGCAGGGATGGGCAGCAGGCCCACCCAGCCCTGAGTCTGGCTCACATCAGGGTGATGTTGGGAGTTCGTTACTGGTATCGCAGAGCTCCCAGCCTCAAAAATGAGCAACCAAGTAAATTATTATTAGTTACAATAGTACCTATTATTAGTACTAATAACAGGACTGCTAATAGGTACTGTGTCCATAAGACTCACTGTGTAAGATGCTCTGTTCTATGTGGATCATTCTCATTTCATCCCCCCCAATACCTGTGGGCTGGGTGCCACTGGTATTTTAGAGACGCAGAGTAATTCCGCGAGGAAAAGCCTGGTTTGGACTCTAAGGATTTACACCGGCAGTGTGGACAGAGGGCAGGTCCGGTGGGGCGTGGAGAACATGGAGGCAGAGGGAGGTGTTGGGGGGACACTTTGATCCAAGAAACCAGAACCAGGGCTAGGACCCTTACCCCACACACATGAAGACAGAGGGAGAGAAGAGATGTTAGGAACTGCCTTGAAGATTGGGCGGGTGCTGGATGGGGTACAGAGCTGGCAGGCAGGGAAGAGGCTGCCCTTGGATACGGCAGAATGGGGGTGCCCCCGTGACATGTGGGGGAGCCTTCCAACAGGCCCCTGGAAACACATCGCTGGGGCTCAGGGGCTCAGGGCTGGGATCCCCTAAGCTCAGAGAAGGTCACGTGCATTACTGACTGGTGACAGAGGCCAGAGGAGGGGGAGGGAGTGCCAGAAGGTGAAGGTACAAAAGGGTCTTCATTTTGAGGGATGGAGGAGAGGCTGGAAGCCCGGGCTCTGGGCTCAGGCCAACTAGCTTCTCCTCCCGGCTCCACCAGCTGGGTGACTCAGGCACCGTCTCTCCAGCCATCCACCTTCTCCCCTATAGAGTGGAGACAATGCTGATAATAATTAACAAGGCCACATGCATAAAGCAACACAGCCCAGGCACGAATGAGCACCCCCGATGTGTTTGCAAGGGCTTGACTGTCCAGAGCAGGCTGAACATGAAACAGACACAGGGCTGCGACCACGCGCGGCCCCCAGGACAGGGATAAGCCGACCGAGCTCCACGGAGCCCACTGTGACAGAGCCGGGAGGAGAGGCTCTACCCTTCTCCATCTCTCAGCCCCCAGCCAGGGCCATGTGAGTGAGCCTTAAAGACGGTGAAGAGCTGTGCCCACCTGTGGGAAGGGTCACGGGCAACCATCACCTGCATGGCATGGGTTTTTATTGGACAAGAGCACTTGCAGCCCAGGCTTCTCCCTTTGCAAGCTGAGTGGCCTCATCAAGCTTTGAGCACCACGCCTGACCGTAGTAGGTGCTTGATAAATAATGGCCAATGTCGTTGCGGTTATCATAAGGTCAACACAAATGCCAAAGGCCTGGCCCTCCACAGTTTGTGAAGTCCGCTCATGTCCAGCATCTCCTCTACAAAACAGTGGTGATTGTTCCCATTTAACAGAGATGGAAACTGAGGCTCAAAAAGAGAACCTTCCCGAAGCCTCACAGAACATCAGCAGCAGAGCCAAGACTTGAACCTGGGGTCCTGGGATCCAGACCATGTGCTTTGTGGCCAGTACTCCCAGACACCTCCCTGTTCATTCCCGTGGGAAAGCCTCCTGGCCACAGGCGCGGGGGCAGCTGTAGCCCCATGATAACACCATCTCCCGTCACACCCGCCCCAGGGCCCGGCAGGGATGGCATTGCCCATGTGACTCAGCCGCCCTCACAAAGGGAGCTGTGTGCCCTGTGCCTTAGGCCTGCCTCCCCCACCCGTGCTCATCCCCTGGCTGGAGGAGGAACAGGGAGTCCGACATATCCAAGACTTGGGGAGAGCAAGGGGCACTGTAGCCCATTAAAATGTGACAAATCTAATAGAGATTCAAGCCCAGGCTTGGGATGTAAGAGGTCGGTGCCAGCTTCCAGAGGGAAGGCAAGGCCAGGCACACAGGAGGGTAGAGACCGCCCAGGTTCCACGCCTGTTGTTCTGAGACCTTATTTGGAGCTCCAAGAACAGACTCAACCCAGCTGGCTCCCTTGGGGGTGGAGCTGAGGCACCTGCCCACATTTACCTGCATCGGATTTCAAAAGCTCTGGAGCTTGTGGTCAGGGAAAAGCCACTCCCTGATTGCCAGCAGGGCTCCTGAGTCTACACCTGTCCCCAGCACGCTCTTTTTCCACCAGAAGGCTTGAGACGCAGAACCCACGCACCCCTACTGAGCACGGTGTGCCAGACAAGTGACTTGAGTTTTCCTCCCACAACTCTAACAAGGAGGCCTTGCCCCATGTGCTAAGGAGGAGACTGAGGCTCAGAGGGGAAAGGGAGCCAGCCCAAGGTCACACAGGATTTGAGCCAGGATCTAACTTCAAGGCCTGAAACTCCTCCAGTCCCTCCTTCCTGGTTCCAGTAGCATCTTGACCTCATGCGATCAAGAAGTGGCCTTGGGCCCAGCACAGACAGGCAGGCAGGCAGACAGCCCCCCACCCCCACGGTCACCCTGTTCCTGTCCTGCCGGGAGGGGACCGCTACAGAAGGCAAATGCTTACAGAGTGCAGGCTGGCTGGGCATCCAGGGACCACCCCTGCTGACCTTGCCAGGAGGCAAGCACACCTAGGTGCCCAGCGGCCTGAGACAGAAGGTAGACAGAGCTGCCACCCCCTCTTCCCAGGCATGACGGAATGTCTGACCTCAGCCCAGCCTCCAGTCGCAGTTGGCAAGAGGGTTGGATCCAGCCAGAACAGGCCTGGAAGGTCATTCTGGCCACACTCCCGCCTCTCAGCCTTCAGAAGCCCCTGAGCCCAGGGCAAGGATGGGCCCACCGAAGATGGACCCCAAGCTCTCTCCCCACCCCACTTCCATGCCCGGCCAGCCCAGACCACGCTTGCCATGGGAAACAGGTGCAGGGACAGGCACGTAGAGGCCTGGATTCCTCAAGGGAGGCCCTAGCCATCTGTAAACATCAGCCCCCACCCCTTTGTAGCTCCGGAGATTGGAGCTAGGTGGGCTGG